CCCCAGTCTAGTTAAGGAGCATGGCATCTACTTCTCCTGTCTCTAGTCTCCCCTAATCCAGACCTGCGGAGGCTAAAGCAAGTCCATCTTCGAAGCCGATCTGCCATGATGACCTCTGATTAACCCCTGTTCTGGGAAGGCCTTTAAGATTTCCAGTTTATCTATTGTTCCCTGTGTAAGAGGCCTTCTTGTAATTCCTGCCCTTAGGTCAAAACGGTCCTGATGTTACTGTACTTCAGTGATCCTATACGTCCCTTCAGAGTTACCCTTTTTCTATCACATATAAGCCCTGGTATTGCCAACGCTGGATACACAGACTTGGCTTCTGCTCATGAGTCTCTATTGAATGTTTTTTCTTTTGGAGAAACTGTATTTGTGACCCTCTTTCTTTGACCTCTCAACCTCCTTGGACTTTAGGGGCAGGCTTGCACAGCTTAAAGAGAAACAAGATCATTTCCCCAGGCCCGATGTTCTCTGAGAGTCGCAGCCAGTGCTGGAAACTGGGCCTCTGTGTGGATCTGTCTTGCTTTTTCATGATCAGATTCAGGTTGAACATTTCTGGCTGGAAATTCTACTTGAAGGAGTCTGTGTCTTTTCTCTGAGCATCACATCAGGTACCCAGGATGTCAGCTGGTCCCACTGTTGGTAGTGTTAACCTTGGTCATTTTGTTAAGGTGGTATCTGACCAATGTTATTATAAAGGCTCCTTTCTCCCCATGTGATGAATTATAGGCCTGTGGGAAGACTGTGTGCTCCATAAAGGCTTTTCGAGAAAGGAAAATGTTGGAATCGTGCAACTTTGTATTATGTTTCCAGTTAGCAAATTGTGACTGTCTTCTCTTACCATTAAATATTCTTCAAAAACATGATTTTTGGTGCTGCCTAAATTCCAACCTGTGTGTGTGTGCATTCTACTTGACTATTACCTACTAGGACATAACTATTAGCTTGCTAACATAGGCTCCACAACACTGCAGATTTTCATCTGCTTTACTCACTGACACGTTTCCAGCTCTGAGAGTGGTATCTGCCATACAGAAGCTCAACAAAAACTTGTTGAATGAATGAATACAGTTTGTGTGTAATTTTTCGATATCCTAATGTCACAGCAAACATCCTTGTAAATAAATCTTTGAAGTATTTATTTTGTGAGAAACACAGATAATGCTTATAAGAAGGGAAACACTTATGTTGATAACGTGAAAAAATAAGAATGCAAAAATTGTACATAGGCCGTAATCTCCACAACATCAAGATATGCAAAGAGAACCATCTGGGAAAAAAAACAGAGCAAACAATTGATGGGAATTATCTCTGAAGAGTTTTAATGTATTTTGAACATTTCTCTGTATTTTCCACAATAAGAACATATTGCTTGCATGAAAAGAAGCAGCAGCACCTTTTTCTTTTTAAAGTTAGTGTTGCAAGTCAAGAGTCATAATAACTGGGGGTACCAAAACTGGTTAAAAACCAAATTCAGGTTTAGGCCACACTGACTGTAGGAGTCTGTGCACCTGCAGGAGCCCCTGGACGCTGGGCTAGGCTGATTACATTTAAGATATCAGTTTCCCTTCCTGGTGTCACATTTTAAAAGCGATATTGACTAACTGGTGACTGTCTAAAGGATAGTGGCCAGTTGGTATGGCATCTGGAAATTGTGTCACTGTTGACACTTAAGGAGCTGGGAGCATTTCTCCTCTAACAGAAGACTGGGGGAATGAAAAGTTTCTTTTAATTTTTAAAGAGTCGTCAAATAGCAAAGTGAAGATTTTTTTTTTTTTTTGAGACGGAGTTTCGCTCTTGTTACCCAGGCTGGAGTGCAATGGCGCGATCTCGGCTCACCGCAACCTCCGCCTCCTGGGTTCAGGCAATTCTCCTGCCTCAGCCTCCTGAGTAGCTGGGATTACAGGCACGCGCCACCATGCCCAGCTAATTTTTTGTATTTTTAGTAGAGACGGGGTTTCACCGTGTTGACCAGGATGGTCTCGATCTCTTGACCTTGTGATCCACCCACCTCGGCCTCCCAAAGTGCTGGGATTACAGGCTTGAGCCACCACGCCTGGCCTGAAGATTTTTATTTTATGCAGTTTTAGAGGAAAGGCCTCAAGAAGGCAGTTTTTTATTCTAGTAAATGATAAAGACTTTTTTTTATTTTTTTTTGAGACGGAGTCTCATTCTGTCACCCAGGCTGGAGTGCAGTGGCATGATCTCAGCTCACTGCAACCTCTGCCTCCCGGGTTCAAATGATTCTCCTGCCTCAACCTCCCAAATAGCTGGGACTACAATCGCACATTACCACGCCCAGCTAATTTCTGTAATTTTAGTAGAGATGGGGGTTTCACCATATTGATCAGGCTGGTCTTGGACTCCTGACCTCGGGTGATCCACCTGCCTCAGCCTCCCAAAGTGCTGGCATTACAGACGTGAGCCACCGCGCCCAGTGACTTTTTTTTTTCGAGACAGAGTTTCGTTCTTGTTGCCCAGGATGGAGTACAGACGCTCGATCTTAGCTCACTGCAACCTCCATCCCTGTACCCCCACCCCACTCTGGGTTCAAGCACTTCTCCTGCCTCAGCCTCCTGAGCAGCTGGGATTACAGACACCTGCCACCACACCCAGCTAATTTCTGTATTTTTAGTAGAGACAAGGTTTCACTATGTTGGGCAGGCTGGGGTTGAACTCCTGACCTCAGGTGATCCACCCTCCTTGGCCTCCCAAAGTGCTGGGATTACAGGCATGAGCCACTGTGCCTAGCCCCTCAAGGAAGACTTTCCTTTTTTCTTTTTTTTTTTTTTTTGAGACAGAGTCTCACTCTTGTTGCCCAAGCTGGAGTGCAACAGCGCAATTTCGATTCACCGAAACCTCCACCTCCCAGGTTCAAGTGATTCCCCTGTCTCAGCCTCCCAAGTAGCTGGGATTACAGGCATGAGCCACCATGCGTGGCTAATTCTTGTATATTTTAGTAGAGATGGGGTTTCTCCATGTTGATCAGGTTGGTCTCAAACTCTCAACCTCAGATGATCCGTCTGCCTCGGCCTCCCAAAGGGCTGGGATTATAGGCGTAAGCCACTGTGCTTGGCAAGGAAGGAAGACTTTCTTAACGATTCATCATATAGTAGAAAATGAAAACATTCCCTAGAAAGGAGTGGACACCAGGTGGTCTCTCACAGGGACACAGGGCAGGAGTTGTTGAAGCAGTTAGGAGGTAACAGAGATGCCTGCCCTGGGGGCATGTGGGATGTTTGGTGTGGCCACTTCCAGCATCCTCCACGAACCTGCCTGCAACCCCCCACAGAAATGCAGCCTCTTCCAAGACCGTGGAATGGTCAGGGTCTCCTGGTGCCTGTCTCCCTCTTTATTCAGGTCTTTTCTTCAGGGCCAGCTCCCCAGAGAATTCATCCCCATACTTCATCACTCCCATCCATTCTCTGGTCCTGCTTAATTTTCTTCCTAACACTCTTCCTGAAGGACACATTGTTACCTGTTAACTCATTTCCTTCAGTTTGTTCCCTTGAACATGCTTGATGTAAGGATGGAAAGGCCTTACTGTCCTGGTCCCTGGGGCAGACCAGTGTTCACAGATCCCAGACCAGTGACTGCTGTGCAGCAGCCCTACCATATTTGATGGACGAATGATTCCAAAAAGAAATAGAGCACAGAGTTCAGAGGCGGCCTTGGGAAAAAATTTCAACACTGTCAAAAATTAATTGTGGAGTATCCATCAATGGATGAATGGGTAAGCTAAACGTGGAATATACGTACAATGGAACATTATTATTTGGCCATAAGAAAGAAGGGAATTTGGCTGGGCATTGTGGCTCACGCCTGTAATCCCAGCACTTTGGGAGGCTGAGGCAGGAGGATCACGAGGTTAAGAGATTGAGACCATCCTGGCCAACATGGTGAAACCCCGTCTCTACTAAAAAAAAAAAATACAAAAATTAGCCGGGCGTGGTGGCGCGCGCCTGCAGTCCCAGCTACTCGGGAGGCTGAGGCAGGAGAATTGCTTGAATCCGGGAGACGGAGGTTGCAGTGAGCCGAGATTATGCCACTGCACTCCAGCCTGGCACCTGGTGACTGAACGAGACTCTGTCTCAAAAAAAAATAATAATTAATTAATTATGGGTAGTAGAGAGAATGTGGTCTTCCGTTTTGTTTTGTTTTTTTGTTTTTCCAAGTCCTTGCTATGAGAATGTGGTCTTCCTAAACTTACCGTAGGAAAAGTCAAGAATAACTTAAAGGCTGAGAATAGCATTTCAAAGGTCGCAACTGATCAGAGAGGCTACTTCATCAGGCTAGGCTAGCTCAATAGTGACTTTTTCCAAGAGGAGAGCCGCTGGAGAGAGAACTGAGCAGTGAGGAAAGCGAACTTGTTCGGTTAAGTTTGATTTTCTGCTTTAACGAGAGGCTTCCCGAGTCCCTTAACAAGATCCCCTCCCACAAGTGGCACTCCAGGTCTCTCCGCCTCCCTGCCGTGTCCCCGCCCGGGCCACAGCAATGGACTCCCAGGAGCAGAGGCAGCGCGGGCGGGGCGGGTGGGGGAAGGGCCAGGGCTCACTCTTCCTTTCCTCCTCCGCCGGGGCCCGCCCCAGCCCTGGCCCCGCCCCGGCTCTCTGGCTCCGCCTCCTCCTCACGACCCCGCCCCGGCACATTCTCCCCACCGCCCACTCGGCCCCGCCCCGGGATCTTGGCCCCGCCTCCGCCACCCGGCCCCGCCCCGCTCCCGGCGGACTGAGAGCAGGAAGCGCGCGGTGTCTTCGCCGACGCCGCGTTCGGAAAGGTGTGGAGGGGGCTGGGGGCGCAGGTCGTGGTCAGGCTGCGTCTCCTGCCCGCCCAGCCACCTGCGGCCCTGGCCCCACCCCGCCGCTTTGGGCCGCTCAGGCTCGCGGCCGCCCCCGCCCCGAGCGCCGGCTCGGGGCTCCGCTGCTCTGGCCTGGGAGGCGGGGCCGGCTGCGCGGCGTCATGCATATGCATGAGCGGCGCGGCGGCGGCTCCATTGTGCCCTCGGAGCGGGCGGCGGCGCGATGGCGCGGGTGGCGGCGGCCCCGGGGCGGCGGGCGGCGCGGAGGGCAGGCTGAGCGCATGGAGCGGCGCGGGCCGGGGGCCGCCACGGCGAGGGGCCGGGCCGGGCCGGGCGGAGGTGAGCGGGACCCTGGGGGTGGCCCCTGGAAACGCCGCCCGCGGGCAAGTGCGGGCCGGCGGGGGCGGGCAGGTGCGGCAGGTGCGGGCGGGCAGGTGCGGGCGGGCAGGTGTAGCCGGTCCCCCGGGGTGCCCCGGTCCCGCTGCGGCGCCACCGTAGGGTACCCAGCCCGGCTGGGGCTGGAGGCTCTGCCGCCCACCTGCCGGCACCTGCCACGCGTGCGTCGTGGTCTTGGTCAGGCTCGGCCCCGTGGGCGTCAGGGTCGTCCAGCCCGCCCCGAGTCTTTGTTGGAGGCTGGCCGAGGGGTGTAAGCGGCGATCGAGGTTCTCCTGAGCGGTGAAAGCTGGCCGGGCCTTCGCTCCAACCTGATCGTTCCTGGCTCTGGGGCCAGGCAGTCTCACCTTCATGATACGCCCCTCCGCTCCCACTTACGTGCCCACCAGCAGGGCGATGTGGGGGCCCGCCGAGGCAGTCACCAGCCCGCGGAGGAGCTGTTCCGCTCCTGGGCTGAACGACGCTGACCTGCCAGCCCCCAGCTGGCAGTTTTGTTGGGGACACCCCTTTCCAAACTGGACATACTAAGCTCAGGCGTGAGGATGCCATGCTCCCCTGAGGTACCTTGTCTTCCCTAGTGCCCTGTTCCCGGCAGGTGTCCTTCACCGCGACCCCCCCTCCACCTACCCTGTCTTTTCCCCCATTCCCTGGACCCTCTACCCTGCAGTGCTCTGCTTCCCCTTCTCCCTAGGGTGCCCTCTTTCCAGTATTACAGAACATCCATGGTGGTGTCTTTAATTTGTGTCATCACAGATTTCACAGGGACACACACAGAACATGTGACTTGGTCTGAGACCGTGGTGATTACAGATAGGATGGACACAGACTCACCACCAAGTTCTGGCAAGCTAGAACCAGAGGGCATCCTTTGATGCTTAGTGTGGAAACAGGAGAAGTGAAGGAATCTTAACTTCCAGGGGTACTGACCTCTAGCCCTTGTCACGCCTAGGGGGCAGTTACAAGCTGCGAATGTAAATGAGGAGAACAAGCAGGTGACAGTTGCCAGTGTAGATTTCTGAAGGACAGGCCTAAGATGTTTGTGGAGCATCCTGATGATTGGGATTGAGCTCCCAAGGGCTGATGACATGAAGGTGGTCATGTGTCCTCAGGCCTTGGATGCCACCAGATACCCATCGTACACATTGTAAACTGATGCCAGGTTAAGGTTGTTCCTTCAGCTGTTCACTGAAATGTCTCATGCCTGGGCCATTGCTTATTCCTGGACTTTTTGATGAACTCTGCATCTTGACTTATCCCCACACTGTGGCGGTTTAGTATTGTGGCCTTACAGATAGAGGGGCAGGACTTCCGGGTACCTGTACATGTGAGCACCCTACCTTTTGCTACCAAGGGCCCTGCTCCTGCCCCATTTCAGAGCCATCATTTCTTCGAGACCCTTCGACTCCACTGTCACTTAGGTTGGATATGGATCCTGAACCCGCAACCTTGGAGACAGTGAGTCTTGATTTGTGACCTATTGAGAAGGGTTGGCCTGCCACAGGATCCACTTGCTGGTCCTGCTCCTAGCTTACTAGGCAGGCAGAGAGGTGGCATGGAACAAGGCTCAGGAGGTTAACCAGGAGACTTAGGGGTGCAGCTGCTCTGGGACACTTGGGGAAGAAAGGTTTGGGTAGTGAGTTCTGTAGCTCTATGTCTAGAGGAAGATGTGATCTGACTCCCAGAAAGCCTTGTGGCCTTCTAGACTGACCTTATCCATCTGTCAAGGGGTCCTAGCTTCAAGCTGGAGTTAGTATACAAGGAAAGCCCCAGGTGATAAGCCCCTTTGTGGGCATGGGCCTTGCATGATCTGGGATCTAGATTCCAGGCTCCGGGCTTGTTCCCAGCCCAGACTCAGAGCCAGGGGACAGATAGGAAGAGGTTCTGCGCACACACAACACAGAACGCTTCCCTATGTTCAGGAGCAGAGGGTCAAGGATACCAGACCTGGAGACTGGGAGTCTTCCCAGAGAGACTGTCCTCAGAGAGGAGACCAGAGGCATGAGTTCGGGTCGGCAGGAAATCCCCCTGTGCAGTGAAGAGTAAGCTCAGAGGGAACTGGAAATCTTTGTGGTCTCTGTCCACAGCAGAGAAGCATCAAGGGTGGAATTCCCCAAGCCCATGTGACATAGGAGCCTGTTGTGGGCTCCTCCCCTCCCTGTACCTGGCCTGTGCCCCTTCTCCCCAGCTCTCTGCATTTCCTAGAACTAAGGCTCTCAAACTAGTCCCTGGACCAGCAGAAGCAGTAGCTGCAAACTTGTTAGAAATTCCAGACTTGGGCCCCAGCCCATCCTACTGATTTTAGGTGGAGCTGGGCAGCCTAATCACCAGCTGCAAGTTGGCTTTGACGTGCTGCCGTTGAGGAACTGCTGCCCTAGGTGACCTAAAATGAGGGAGTTCTGCATCAAGTACCGCCTGCCCTCTGAGGCCTTTGACCGAGGCGGGGGAGGGGGCACATCTGCTTGCCTGCCAGATTCCCTCCCTGTGCTTCTTGGGACAGCAAAGTGGCCAGGCCAACCCAACTAACTCTCCAGCAGGGAAGGATAGTCACAGCAGTTCTGCGGAGACAGAAGGCTGGTGGTAGCAGTTGCATTGTAATTAAACTTTTTATTTTGAAATTATTGGCCTGACACGGTAGTGCACACCTCTGTTCCCAGCACTTTGGGAGGCTGAGGTGGGCAGAGCACTTGAGGTCAAGAGTTCAAGACCAGCCTGGCCAACATGGTGAAAGCCCATGTCCACTAAAAATACAAAAATTAGCTGTGCATGGTGGTGCACACCTGTAGTCCCAGCTACTCAGGAGGCTGAGGCAGGAGAACTGCTTGAACCTGAGAGGCGGAGGTTGCAGTGAGCTGAGATCGCACCACTGCATTCCAGCCTGGGTGACAGAGCAAGATTCCATTTCAAAAAAACAAAGAAATTGTAGATTCATGTGCATTATAAGAAATGACACAGATTCATTCTATCCTTTACTCAGTTTCCATCAATGGAAACATCTTGGAAAACTCTAGTGCAACATTGCACCAGGACACTACATTGATACAGTAAAGAGGTTACAGCCTGTTGCCTTTTATTTTTATTTATTTTTTTTAGCCAGAGTCTTGCTCTGTTGCCCAGACTATAGTGCAGTGGTGAGATCTCAGCTCACTGCAACCTCTGCCTCCTGGTTTCAAACGATTCTCCTGCCTCAGTCTCTCAGATTGCTGGGATTACCACGTCCGGCTAATTTTTATGCTTTTAGTAGAGACAGTTTCACCATGTTGGCCAGGCTGATCTCGAACTTCTGACCTCACATGATCCGCCCACCTCGGCATCCCAAAGTGCTGAGATTACATGTGTGAGCCTGTTGCTCAGCCAGTTGCCTTCTTATATTCACACCCACTTTTCTCCTGCCAAAATTATAGAAATGGAGAAGAGATTAATACTTTTCTTCCTTACCCCCACATTTAACCACTGGCAATCACTAATCTGTTCTCCGTTTCTTTAATTTTGTGTCAAAAATGCTAAATAAAGGAATCATACACCCTGTAGCCTCTTGGGATTGGCTTTTTCCACTCAGCATAATTCTCTGGAGATTCTTCCAGGTTGTTGCGTGTATCAGTAGTTCATTCCTTTATATTGCATCCGGGCTATGGCTATACCACAGTTGGTTTAACTGTTTATCCATTGAAGGACATCTGGGCTGTTTCCATTCCATAGCTATTACAAATAAAGCAGTTATAAACATTTGTGTACAGGTTTTTATGTGAACATGAGTTTTTATTTTTCAGATAAATGCCTCCAAGTGCAGTTGCTGGGTCATAGTAGGGTAGCTGTGTGCTTAGTTCCATATGATACGGCCAGACTGTTTTCCAGAGTGGCTGTACATTTTATATTCCCACTAGTAATGTGTGAGAGATCCAGTTTCTCCTTGCCAGCATTTAGTGATGTCACTATTTTTTATTTTAGCCATTCTGATGGATGTATAGTGATATCTCACTGTGGTTTTAATTTGCATTTCCCCACTGACTAGTGATGCTGAGCATCTTTTCATATGCTTATTTGCCATCTGTATATTCTCTTTGGCAAAGTGTCTCTTTATGTTTTTTGCTTATTTGCTAATTGGAGTTTTTTATTGTAAGTTTTTTTTAGTTTTGAGAATTCTGTATTTTATTTTTATTTTAAATAATGGTTCAGTCTGTCATCCAGGCTGGAGTATAGTGGCAGGATCATGTCTCACTCCCGCCTCTACCTTCTGGAGTCAAGTGATCCTCCCCACTGCAGCCTCCTGAGAAGCTGGGACCACAGGTACATGCCACCGCACCCGGCTAATTTTTAAATTTCTTCAGGAGACGGCATCTCACTATGTTGCCCAGGCTGTTCTTGAACTCCTGGGATCAAGCAGTCCCCCTGCGTCGGCCTCCCAAAGTGCTAGGATTATAAGTGTGAGCCACTGTGCCTGGCTGAAAATTCTTTATATATTCTAGATACTAGTTCTTTGTTGGATATGAAGCTTGCAAATATTTCTCCTGGCTGGTAACTTAACTTTTCATCCTCTTGGCAGGGCCTTTCACAGAGGAAAAATTTAATTTTGATGAAGTCCAGTTTATCAGTTTTTTTCTTTTTTGGATCATGCTTTTGGTATCAGGTCTAAGAATTCTGTCACCTAGATTGCAAAGATTTTCTTCTATGTATTTTCGTGAACATTTTATAGATTTATGTTTTATAGTTAAATCTATAAACCATTTTGAATTACTTTCTGTATAAGGTGCGAAGTTTAGGTGTTTTTTTGTTTGTTTGCTTTGATGCCCAGTTGCTCCACTGTCCCAGCACCACTGGTTGGAAAGGCTGACCTTCCTCCTTTGAAATGCTCTTGCACCTTTGTCAGACGTCATTGTGGCCTATTTATGCGGATCGGTTTCGAATTCTCTGGTCTCGCCTATTGGTCCATGGTTCTGTTCCCCTGTTGGTACCACACAGTTTTGATTACCATATATATATTCTAAGTCCTAAAATGTGTATGTGGCTGCTCAAGGCCCCACCCAGCAGATCTGGGGAGGAGATTCTGGCTGTTGGTAGGCTGCTCTGTTCCCCGGCGTCACTATTCCCGAGTCAGGCTGTGGGACTGGGATTGCCAGCCCTGCCTTGCCTAGCTGGGCCATCTCAGCTCCCAGGCCTGTCCTGGCCCAGAGTCCAGGTGCCTGGAGCCTTCTGGAGCCATCAGCCTCTGTTTTTTCTTACCCCTGCTTCCTGAGCAGGACTTGGTGGGGGGCAGGGCAAGGGGAGGAGGCCATGGGAATCAAGTCTTGCCTCCCCTGAGGGTGTGAGGAAGTCCAGACCACTGCCCTCTCCCTCTTCCCTAATTGGTAACTCCCCAGTGCTTGCTGGTGGGAAGATCCAGTGAAAAGCCACATTTTCAGGCTCCCCAAGCAGAGCTCAGCTCTACGTCTCACCTGCTCTGGGGTCCTGGGCATACAGGTTGCCCACCAGGCCTGTATTTTGAGGGGTAAGGCTGTTGCTACCTCCATTGGTGAGGACCTCCATTAGCACAAGAAATGGCAGCCTAGATGAACATGGGGCCACCCTCTCCTGGGGCAGGGAGAGGCCTTGTGAGTGCTGTGATGGCAAGATGGCACCAACGGTCAGCACACCTCAGGGGTGTGTGTGTGTGTCAGCCTTGCAGCCCCTAAAAGGCAGTGATATCCAAGGTGAGCATGCCCCTGCCTTCCCCGGGGACTCCTGAGAAACAGCTGAAATGGCCTCTCACACACCCACTCCTTGGGCTGTGCCACAGCCAATGTGCCTCTGTGGACAGCCCAGGCAGGCAGAAGTGGACGTGGCAGGTAGTCTTGGGAGTGTCAGGACCCAAGGTAGTACCAGTGAAGGCCCTATGGGGACAGTTCAGGGACAGGGCCCCAGGGGATGTCTGGGCCCACTTTGGTAAGGGGCTTGCTTGTGGCAGTGTGGGAAGGTGTGGCACTTGGAGGCAACCTGAAGGTGTGGTCACTTCCATGGCTTGTTTACTCAATGGGGAGAGTAAACTTAGCATAGCACGTAGAAGTCCCATGGTGCCAGCACTGTGGTCCTGCGAGTGTCCACCTGCTGCATTCCTTCCTGACACATTCCTTCTCCTGCCCTTTCCTGAGCACCAGGTCCCCAGGGTCCACTCAGCCCCATCTTGCAGAGTCACTTCAGCATCCCCCAAGCCCCCTGCTTAGGAACACTGGCCAAGTCACAGTCCCTGCCAGGTCTGTGAGTGCCCACCCTCCATCTATTGTATGTGTCCCTGCCTTCTCCTGTTGAGCACTCCCTGGGGGTGTCATGGATGGGCCAGTGGGTCTGCCTGCCTGGCCCCTATGACCATATCAGCTTCAGGCAGCCCCCACTTGGTGGAATCTGGGTCAGTTCTGAGGTCCCCTTGCCTGGAGCCCTTCTGCTGCCCTGAGGAGGGCCCTCTTGGTGGGAGGGGCTGCCAGCCAGGTCCCGGGTTACCGGCCCAACACCCCATTTCAGGAGGTATCGTGCACTTCCCTCTCAAGGCCTGGTTGGAGGGTTATTGGTTGACCACTGCACTCTCCTCCTTGGCTTTCCCAGCCCCTGGCCTCCAGAACCGCCTGTGCCCCTACCTGGCCTACTCAGGGCAGGTAAGACCTTGAGCAGGGAGTCTGCCCACCCCCACTGGCCTTCTGTCCTTCACCCCAGGGCCTTCTGGGGGGTTCCTGGCTACTGGCTCCTCTCTAAATCCCAGTTTCTACAGGGTGGCTAAGATTGTCCCTGACTTTATATGGATATCCAGCCCTTGGTGTGAGTAGGAGAGTGGGGAAAGTATTTGGAATCAGGAAGTCCGTCTCTAAGGTTGATCCAGTGACTCTGGGTGGCAGGGCCTGGATCAGAAAGGGTTCATGCTGGCTGCCAGGCTGGGTTTGTGGGGGCAGAGCATCACCAGAGTGGCTCGGGTGGGCCAGTGCCAGGCTCCTTCACTGCCTTGCCTGCCATCGGAGCCCAGGTGTCCTTTATTGAGAAAGGGGTAGGGCCTGGTGGTACTGGGGTCCTTCCACCCTGCTGAAAGGGTTTCCCGGTTGCATCTCAGCTAACATCCCTTCCCTCCTGTTGGGCAGCCAGAGCAGCTGAGTTCCAGATAAACACTGTCAGACCCGGCCTGTAGGCTGCTCCATTGCCAATGAACTCCATGAACCCCATGAAACCTGCCCTGCCCCCCGCGCCACACGGGTGAGTATGGGCCCCTCTACCCACCCCTCAGGTCCTGGGGTTGGGGGTGCATTTCTGGAAGGTCCTGGACTCTTGGACACCAATGGCTTCCGGACCCAGGCCTCAGCAGCCTCTCTCCCTGCAGTGATGGTTCATTCGCGTACGAGTCTGTGCCTTGGCAACAAAGCGCCACTCAGCCGGCTGGATCACTGTCCGTGGTCACTACTGTGTGGGGAGTTGGCAACGCGACGCAGAGCCAGGTAAGCACCACTGGGGCCCCATCCCCAAGTAGACAGAGCCTCCCAGCACTTGGCAGTGCTTAGTGCCTCCTTAAAGCTCTGAGAGACAGGCTGAGAGGTGAGGACGGAGAGGCTGAGGCATGACATGAGGATGGGGCCTCCTGAGTCCCCTAAATCTTTGGACACTGGTTCTCTTTCCACACCTGCTGGGATTTTCTTCTCCGGTCTTCACCTAGCCTTCACAGAATGCCCTGACCTACCTGTGGACAGCTGCTTTCCCTGCTTCTGTGTGATACCCCGTCCCCTCCACCAATCCCCCAACCCGCTCGCCAGGCCTCTTGGTTTCTAGCACTTTGGAGCTGCTGCATGAAGCATGTTGTTTGGCTGGTTCCCTTTGGTGATTCCTGCTTCCTCATAGGTTTTGGGGAACCCCATGGGCCCTGCAGGGAGTCCCTCTGGTGGCTCCATGATGCCTGGTGTGGCAGGGGGCAGCTCCGCCTTGACCTCCCCACAGTGCCTGGGACAGCAGGCGTTTGCTGAAGGTGGCGCCAACAAGGGCTACGTGCAGCAAGGCGTGTACAGCCGCGGGGGCTACCCTGGGGCCCCCGGCTTCACCACCGGGTAAGCAGGTCCCCTCAACTGGCAGGTATGCTAGGAGCCATCAACCTGGCAGGCACCTCAGGATGGTGGCGCTGATCAGCTGGACGTTGCCTCTCTGCTTTCCGCCAGCTCCGACAGCAGTCATGGAGGGTCTAAAAAGAACGGGCTCCCCCTGGGTGCTGCATGCCTCTGGGGTGAGCATGGTCCTGGCCCTCATGAGCCCATGCAGAGAGCGTGGCAATCCGGTGTCTCCTGCAGGTATGCAGGCGGACCGGGGGGCCTGGGCCTCCCCTCACACGCTGCAAGACCCTCCACCGACTTCACGCAAGCAGCAGCCGCTGCTGCAGTGGCTGCTGCTGCAGCCACTGCCACCGCCACCGCCACAGCCACTGTGGCTGCTCTCCAGGAGAAGCAGAGCCAGGAGCTGAGCCAGTATGGAGCGGTGAGCCCCCTCAGCAGCTCCTCCCACATGGCAGCCAGCCTGAGGGCCTGGGAGGAGGTACTCATCTAGGCAGTGGGCTCCAGGGACAAGCATGGAATATGCCAGGACTCACGAGGCCAGTAAAAGAGAGATGTGTGGGAAGAAGTGAGGGTCTGAGGGGAGGTTTCTGTGCTGTCCTGTGAAAGGGTATGGTGCCCACCCTGGTGGGTGGGTGGGTGGGTGGATGGGTGGTGTCTCTATCCCGTGGAGCCCTTTGTGGGTGGGGCCTGGACCATTCTTCTTTATTCTCTTCCTAGATGGGGGCCGGACAGTCTTTTAACAGCCAGTTTCTGCAGCATGGAGGTCCCCGGGGGCCTAGTGTCCCCACTGGCATGAACCCTACTGGCATAGGAGGGGTGATGGGCCCCTCCGGCCTCTCCCCTATGGCTATGAATCCCACCCGGGCAGCAGGAATGGCACCCTTGTATGCAGGGCAGCGCCTGCCTCAACATGGGTATCCTGGGCCTCCCCAGGCCCAGCCACTGCCCCGACAGGGGGTCAAGAGAACCTACTCTGAGGTGAGTGTCCACATCACCTAGTTTGGGGCCTTGGGTACCAACTCCCTCACCCAGGCACCCTTTAGAGCTGTGGTAAAGAACAGGCTTCTGCCGGGTGCGGTGGCTCACGCCTGTAGTCCCTATACTTTGGGAGGCTGAGGAGGGCGGAGCCCTTGAGCTCAGGAGTTTGAGACCAGCCTGGGCAACATAGCAAAACCCTGTCTCTACAAAAATTAGCCTGGTGTGGTGGCACGTGGATTGCCTGAGCCCAGAAAGTCGAGGGTACAGTGAGATGTGATTGCTCCCCTGCACTCCAGGCTGGGCAACGGGAGTGAGACCCTGTTTCAAAAACGAGCAAAGGCCAAGCCCAGTGGTTCACACCTGTAATCCCAGCACTTTGGGAGGCTGAGGCAGGCGGATTACTTGAGGTCAGAAGTTCGAGACCACCTGGCCAACGTGGTGAAACCCCATCTCTACTAATAATACAAAAAATTAGCTGGGTGTGGTGGTGCTCACCTGTAATCCCAGCTACTTGGGAGGCTGAGGCAGGAGAATCACTCGAACCTGGGAGGTGGAGGCTGCAGTGCGCCAAGATT